TCCTTTTTAGCTATTTTAAGCTCTTACTTAAAATATATATAATAATTAACTATTTAATAAAGCTAAGCTAGTAAAATACTTTATATATTATAATAAAAATCTATTATATACTAAGTATAATAAGAAGAATCTAAAGATAAAAGTTAATAAAAGGTAATATCTTTCTTTTAATAATAAAAATAAAGACCTTTTTTTATAGCTTATAGATTAAAAAAAATAGAATATAATAAAGCCTTATATTACTTAGACTTTTAAAAATATATTTTTAATCTTTATTTAGTTATATAATTAGTAAATATAATAAGCTATAATAATATAAAAGGGAAAACTACCTACTACTTAGATAGCCTATTTTAAAGGCTTTAAAGATAAAACTATTAAAAGAAAAGTATTATATTATAAATACTATAATATATATATAAGGCTAAGTAAGGTAAACTAAGGTTTAATATACTAGTACTTAAAAAAGATAAAGAGGTTATATAATTTCTATAAGATTAAGGACTTAAGCTATTAAGCTATTAATCTAAGAAGAAGGATCTAGGGGATTAAAAGTTAAACCTATTAATTTAGGTTTATAGTAAAGAGATAAATAGGTACTTAAGGAGGAGGTATTCTTATAGCTAAGTAGTTTAGATTTTTACTAATTAATTTAAGTAATACTAAGTAATTAGTATTAAGAGTTTTATTTTTAATAAAATTTTATAAAGATATTACTTAATTAGTTATTTTATAGTATTTAAACTTAACTTATTTTCTAAAAAATAGACTAACTATAGACTAAGGATAAGCTATTATTATACTATTTTAGTAGATTTAGCTAGTTAGTTATTATATAGCTATTATATAGCTATTATATAACTATTAAAGATACTAGCTATATTAGCTATATTAACTATTATATAACTACTATATATACTAGTTATATAAATTATTATATAATTATTATATATTTATATAAAAGAGAAAAACTTCTAGATATATTTTATATAGTTTTATAATAGCTACTAATTTAATCTAGTTAATATTCTATTTATATAAGTTTAAAATCTAGGCTAATAATTAATAAATATTAAGAAAGAAATTATATTAAGATTAAAATTTTATTAAAGTAGATTTTTATTATTTTCTTTTTTTTTACTTTCTTATCTAAACCCCTTCCCCCTTCTCTTCTCCTTAAGGTACCTTTAATATAACTACTACTAATACTAATACTAATACTAATACTAATACTAATACTAATACTAGTAACTAGCTAATACTATTACTATTACTATTGCTATTACTATTACTATTATTATTAAAGGTAGCTAAAAGAAGCCTCTAGTATATATATAGATAGTATTATAAACGAAGAAAGGATATAAAGCAGCTAAAGAGATAGCCTAAGGATATAACTAGGTAGGTACCTATAAAGTTACTAGATTAGGATAAGAGGTTATATAACTAAATTATTATAAAATATAATAAGCTAATTATAATCTATAAAAAAAAGAGTACTAAGATTACTAGTAATCTAAAATAATCTTAATCTATAATAAAGAAATAAATAAGTATTTAAAAAAAAGTATTTTTATAACTAAATAATCTAGATTTTTACTAATTAATCTAAGTAATATTAAATAATTAGTTTTATTTAATAAATTATCTTTAAAACC